CTCATCGGTCACAATGTTTCATGAGATTGTTTTGAATATTAGCTGTTCAGAGCACGACAGCAGAGATGTACGTTTGTTTTGATTTATTGTGATGCAGTTTAACGCTTATGAAATTTAGTGTATTAATGTACTTCTAATGGTAAACATTGAATTATTCATTTAAAAACGTTTCCAATTCAGTGACATCTTCAAATCACTCATCAAAGATGTTGTCATGTTTATCAAAACGAATCGCTCTGCCATTCCAAATAACGAAGGCGTTTTTGACAACCGTTGAATCAGATTCATTTCGTGTTCATGAATTCACCGAAAAATATTTCCATCACAGAAAGGTTTTTGTTTTTGACTTAACTTTGAATGAATGCTCGTAAAATAACTCGGTTATTTACTTCTCGAACAAATTGTTCGATTAAAATCGCCCACTTCTTTATTTCATTATCAATTTGAACTCAGTGGCCACGAAAACCACAGCATCTTTTTTACGATTAATTATTAATTCTATGGCAAGTTGATTCTCTTGGATGTACAAAAATTTATATGCTTTAGGCGCAGTTCACCGAAACGATGAGTTTTATTGATCCCCAACAAATGCCAACGATTCCCATCTATCGAGTGACAGACTCTACGGGTAAATTCATCGATTCGGCTCAGGACCCGAATCTAGATAAGGTAGTTGCTTTCGAAGATTTGTCACAGTTGTGAAACTTTTTGAAGGTTCTTCAGGAAGGAAAAATTGATATTATTAGTTGTTTTTTGATGACTTTTGAAGTGATTTCATTAAGGAATACGCGATAAAAGTGTACAAAAAGATGTTATTGTTGGAGTCGATGGACAAGATTTTGTACGATTCGCAACGACAAGGACGTATTTCATTTTATATGACAAATTCCGGTGAAGAAGTTAGCAGTTTGAATTTTATCGCGTTTGTTTGAAATTTTATTGTTTCACTTGAATCCTTTGGAAATCTTCACTGTCATTTGAGTTGATTTATTTGGCATAACAGCATTCTCTTTATGAATATGTTAGTGATATCTTGCTCATCTGACATAATAATGTTTCCTCGATCGCTTCTGAAATCAATCGTTGCTAATTTTTTGTTTGATTCGTATGTTCATTAGCGAATCACTACTGCTTGTTTCACTGAATCTCCTCTTTCTAGGCCACTCATTTCGGCTCAGCTGCAGCACTACAAGATGACGATTTAGTGTATGCACAATACCGAGAAGCGGGTGTTTTACTATGGCGAGGCTTTACAGTGGATAGTTGTATGGATCAGTGTTATGGGAACGCGAGAGATCTTGGTTGGTAGTTGTTCGTTTTAAGATTCTGTGATATGTTCTGATTACGAAATTATCACTCTGTTTTACTCAGTTACAGAGAAAGAAATTTCATACTGCTGGAATATAACATATTATCGTACTACTGGAATAACATCTTATGAATGCTACCTTTAATTGTCATCAGTGAATTTTTATTGACTCGCACATTGCGCAAATTTCATTTGATGGAGAGGAAGTGTCACCGTGAAATGATTTATTTTTAAATATTGTTCTACAGAACAAGTACATTGCCGCACCGAACAAAAAGAACATTTTCATTCAAGAGTATTCAAAAAGAAACAAAAAGCAAAAAGAAGATACACCAACCGGAAAGTATTTCCTTTTGCAGAGAAAGGAAAGCAAATGCCCGTTCATTACGGTTCATTAGAGCATCATTTCGTCTCAATTTCATCACCACTCGGCACGCAAATATCGCAAGCTGTTGGCTCCGCGTACGCATACAAACGGTATTTCAGATGTTCATCGCATCACTTCTCATAATTGTTCTGAAGTCTTGGAGAAATATTATGAGGAACTTTTTCGAGAACCTGTAAAAGTTCAACAAAAAAAAAATTACTTCGTTGTATATTTTACTGTCAAATAAATACAGTTG